AATGTGGAGAAGAAGACCATCATAACCATTTCCGATGCATATGGTGCAAAAAAATGTGCAAAGGTTCCCATCAAGGATGTAGATGCAACTGGGGAGAAAAGATACAAGCTTACAACCTAAAGGTAGAAACATAAGAGGAAGAAATAGACCAATTTGCAATTGATGTAGGAAAAGAACTTGACGAAGAACAAACCCAACAACTCTCTGATTTGTTGTACAAGTACCATGATATATTTGCTTGGGAGAAGTCCAACATTGGAAGAACCAACATGACTTATCATACTATAGATCTAACTGACTCGAGACCAATTAGACATCAACCAAGAAGAGTATCTCCTGATAGAAGAAAGTTTATCCAGGAAGAAATAAAAAGAATGCTAGACGCGAGATTCATTCGTGAATCAAATAGTGAGTATGCCTCAGGAGTTGTAGTAGTAGAAAAGAAAGGAGGAGACTTATGATTCTGTGTAGACTATAGAGACTTAAATAAAAAGACCAAGAAGGATTCTTATCCTTTACCAAGGATTGATGATACTCTAGAAACACTACAAGGATCACAATGGTTTTTGTCCTTAAATTCGGCAAGTGGATACTGGCAAGTAGAGATGAAACCAGAAGATATCCAAAAGGCTGCTTTCATCACACATCATGGACTCTTTGAATTTACAGTAATGCCTTTCGGATTGACAAATGTTCCTGGAACTATCCAAAGATTGATGGATGAAGTCCTCCGTGACTTGCTATGGAAATCAGTAGTAGTATACCTTGATGATCTCAACATCTTCTTGAAGACATGGAAGGAACATCTAGAACATCTAGAAAACGTTTTCGAACGTATACAAAAAGCAGTATTGAAACTCAGCCCACAGAAATGTCAATTTGGAAACACGGTGTTGAAATTTTTGGGTCACATAGTTGGAAATGATGGAATCAAGATAGATCCAACGAAGATAGAGAAGGTGCAAAACTTTCCTAAACCTATCAACGTCACTCAAGTAAGAAGTTTCTTAGGACTCTGCAATTACTATAGAAAATTTGTAAAGGGATTTGCAAAGAGATCTTCACCTTTAACAGAAATATTAAAGAAAGGAGAAGAGTTTAATTGGACAAATAGACAATAAAGGACTTTTAAAGTCTTGATCGAACAACTCACCACTGAGCCTGAACATAAACTCCTACTAGTTTCAGGTCACAGGATTGCTAATCTACTGAGTGAATATCAAAAGATGCAAAAATAGGTATTGCTTTTTCTTAGATTATATTAATATTATTGATGGATCCATTGATATCAATATAACAATAATTGTGGTGAACCTTTTAAGATTTTGAATGGATTAATTGAATCTATTTTATCTGGTTCCCGTCAGTGATAAGCATTTAGGTGTGAGATAATTTAATATTTTTATATACGGAAAAATCTAATAGAACTTTTTTAAAAAGTAGTAGTACATACTGACTGATTTTCTAATATAAAATAATTTAATATTGTTTAAAAAAGAAGATTTATTGAGGGAGAATGTCTAATTCCTATATTGTATACTGATTAATTAATTTGTTAATTAAAAAAAAAAGATATTTATTAAAAAAGATTGTTTGAATTGCATCCTTTTAATTTTTTTTTAGTAAATCAACAAAAATCTCAGAGATCAATCGAATATATACATATAAAGAACCTCTCCTTAATAAAATAAATCAGAAGAGTGTCGCATAGCAAAGAAAACAATGCACAATGCAAAATTGGCAACAATAAAAAAGGTGGATATGGATGTATGTAAAAATATTAATTTGTGAGAGACGGACACGGCATTTTTTTCGTTTTTATGTTGAAAAAAGATACATATAGGATTATTTAAATATTTAAATCCATAAAATTATTTATTTGTTATTTAAAATAATAATAATACATGCTAAATCATAATCGAAATTAATGTGAATAATTAATCATCCATTGATAATTCACCCAACATCATAATTTCTAAAATTGATAATAAAAAATTTAGTCAGGATATAAAATACCATATGAACCAAATAATAACTACCTTCAGTTGTGACAATATCCTTAACTTCAACTAATATTTAATTAATAAAATAAATAATTATTATAAATAAGAATAATAGATAAAAAGGAAACTTAAAATAAATTTACCAGTAAAAAGTTTGATTGAATCATTGTTAGGTTTATTGCTGATTTCTACTGTTTTAAAAATACATAAATTTCATTGATTATTCATTCCTTAAAATTTTACTTAAACATCATTATATATTACCTTGATTCCATTCCACAATCATTTCATTGGTCTCATTAATTTCATTGACCACATCCATCATTTCTACATCATTTCCTTTACCATTGTTATTGTTACTAGAATCTAATTTTAATTGAAAAATTAAAAATTAGTAAACAATTAATCATAATAGAATTTAATTTAATTTCATTATCATCAATTTCAGAAACAAATTTAGATACTGCACCAAGTTCAAGTTTGTTTTGTAAACTTTTATATTTAGCAATATCATCATCTAATATTCTGCTTGAATAGTCAATTACTTTGGATACTGGACCAAGTTCAAGTTCATGTTGTAAACTTATATATCTAACAATATCATCATCTAATATTCTGCTTGAATGATATGCTAATGGATGTGATTTTTGTATTTGTTGTGAATTATTATTATTTGAATTGCTAGTAGTAGAAGTTATAATTTCATTACTTAAATCTTCAATTTTATAAAGTTTTGTTGAATAATCTTTAGCAAAGTTAGAAAGTTCACTAATAGTTGGTCTTCTAGATGGGTCAACATCCCAACACTTTTGCATCATCTCTGCATATTCTTTTGGCATATTTGGTAAAATTGGTGGTCTTAAACCATTACAAATGTCTATAATCAAATAATGATCATGTGCTCTATCATCAAAAGGTGGATGTCCTGAAAATATCTCCCACATCAACATTCCAATGCTATATACAT